CCCCAAAACCCCAAAACCCCAAAAACCCCAAAACCCCAAAACCCCAAAACCCCTGGACTTATAGCTGAGATAGACCGATTTATTTTATTTAATAATGATAGCATTATGGTAAGTACTGGAGACTATGAAAAACATTGGATAAGCATCAACTGACTTATCTTTCTCGATTGATTCTTCTAAGATATAACAAATATAAGCAGTTTAGAATATCTCAAGTAAGGAGCAACCATAAGAACTTAGGCATCTTTTGGTTCATCAATATAAGAGATTTGTGCCATTTAGATTTCCTCCTAAAATTATTTGGATTATCCAAATAAATTTCTTTGCAAATCCTCTAAAGCTTAGTCTTCGTATTTATCTCCGATATTATTTGATGAATGAAGTCTCAAACAAAATCGATGAGTCGGCTTCCCCAATTCCTAAGAATGATTAAGTTTAGAGTAAATCTGGTTTACTTCCTTGTTTTAATTCCCTTAGCATATGATGACATTTAAAAACACTAGTTTGAAGTTCTGAAAATATTTAATCGTGCCTAGTTAGAGATGAGGCATTTTAAAATCCTCAAGGAAATCACTCCTAATGATTTCTTTGGTCAAAGATTGATTCAGATTTACAACCTTATTACACATTTTGGGACTTATAAAGCTCTTTTGAGCTGAGGAGCAAGTTTCGACAACGAGACACGAAATTTGCATTAAAATGATGATAAAATCTAAAAGTCTGATTAGTTGTAATGAAATCGGCATAATTTTAGAGTTCTGAAGAACGCTGTAATATTAACTATTTTTAGACATTAAAGAATCTGCAGCTAATATAATTTATATAACTACAAAAATATTTACGCAGATCGCTTATCTCAGGGGATTCTTAAAGCTACCTCTCTTCTCTGATTCCAAATTGGATACCTGTAAAAGAAAAGAGAGGTTGATAATGAATTGATTTAATATTTCTCTGGAGCCTAATTCTAATCCAAGCGATAGCTTTAAAATCCATTAACAGGAAGATTAGGAAGGCTTCTTAATAGTTGAGCTTATGTACAAAAATTGCATTTCCATATTATAAGTTAGCATTTAAGAATAATTTCAGTGTTGGAATTTTTCTAAATTTTCTCCGATTTGGAGTATCCATTAAGAGAGAGTGCTGAAAATCTCATGGAGCTAAAGCCACTATGATTTGATCTGAAAGCCATAGGTTGCATTCGGCACACCATTTATAAGTTTAAGAAGTCTCATTATTTTAGACACCTGATGGCCAACTTTAGGATTTCATCGTGCCATTAAATATTCTTTGGAGGAGAGCTACCCAATTAGAAGCTAGGTTTATGACTTATCTATTGTTATTAAGAATATTTACAGGGGAAATAGGTATCCTCTGAACAGATATCCAATATCTGCACAACAATTCTTGCTTATTATTATTAATCATTGATTTATAAATATCAAGCCAACCAATCTGCTAGAGTCTTATTAAATTTGGCTGCTAAGATGGTTCTTTAGGCGGTATTTATTTGGAGAAAATTGAAAATTTTAATAGTTTGAAGCGTTCGTTTAAAAATATTGATCCCGAAAATTCAAGAAGTAGAAGGCAAAAATATAAGACAAGTTATCACATAAAATTTAAGGTTAATTTCTTGAATAAATTTGAAATACAAGCATCTGTGAATTTGATATAATTCCCTTATGTAAATTTCTGAGCAACTCTATTTCTATTAAAATGGGGCTTGACTGTTTTCGCAAAGTTATGAATATACCAAAGAACACTTTTTTATTTTGTTAAATTTCCCAGTGCCAATCTTCTTCTATGAGTTTAACTTAAGTTATAACCACATCTTATCAGAATATAGGTTAATTTTGATTTTAAAAATAGTTCTTGCAGCTCAATGCCCTGCTGGAACAGACACCTCCATGCAGGTCAAAAGTTTTGCTTTCAGATACAACACTTTCACAAATATTGATGTTGTCAATGGGATCTCATGTCCAGATAATTCATGAGTCTTTCTTACTTCAAATGGTTTCAAAAATAGCTGGAACAGAGTCAGTCTCTTCAGGTTTGATTCCAGCCTCAACATGGTGTGGGAGTTCAACCTTGATGATAACATTGCTAAGAACGGAATCGCTTTGCACTCATCAGGATCTAACTTGGTCTTGGTGACTCAGTCAACAGCTGAGTGTCTTCTTGTCAAGCTCGATAGTGCAACCAGATCCATTGTTGAGCAACTCAAGATTGGAAGTGCTACTGACTGAGACTCTCTAACATTCTCTGATGATTACTCCAGCATCTATGTTTCAGGCAAAGTTTCTTCGAGTCCTCATGTGTTCAAAATTGGATATGCAGACTTTGGAACTACTTCCATTACTTCGATCCCAGTCAGTATGAATTCTGTGTACTCTATCCACTCGTATGTGAGTTCAGGACAAGAACTCTTGATGATCAGTGGTGCAGTGACGAGTCCCACTCAATCCTACAGCTTGGTGTCAGTCAACTACGACACAGCCACTCAACAATGGGCCAAGAAGTTAGACTGTCCAACTGCATGAGTGTTGACTGGAACAAATGATGCATTGGTTTTAGAATCTCACAACAGAGTCGTCAGCTATTTCTTAGATACAAAGCCTATCCTTTATGTGAGTAACCTTGCAGATGGAACTCTTGTGGGATCCTACGTTCCAGACTTTACCCAGAGCAATCTTGAAATCAGTAGCATCACTTACTCAGCTTCGTTCAGCAAAATGTTCTTGCTGATGAAGTATGATACTGGAGCATACAAACTCGAATATGATCCTGCAACTGGTTCATTCTCGAATGCTTACGTAAGCACTGCAATCAGACCAGGATGGATCCTTGAAGCTGGAGGCCACACTTTGATCGGATCTGGAGTCCATAGTGATGCTGATGTCATGGGAGTGTCTCGACTAGCCTCCAATGGAGAAGCTGGGATCAATACTGATGTTACTTTTACTTCTACATCAAATTCATTAGTTGCATCAACTGGGTATTCTTACTCTAACGATGCCACATTGTTTGTTTCAGCTGTTTCTGGGGCTGTCACGAAAGAAAGCTCTAATGTTGGAACAAACAATTTGCCAGCCACAAAAATTTCAAACACTTTGGATTTCGAGTCTGAAGTGATATTTAAAACAGAAAATTATGTGTTGGATACATCTGCAGGAGCTACCGGAAATATTCCAAATTTCTTTCCATGCTCGATCAGTGGATCAACTTCAATAAGCTCTGCGATTGATGCCCATTTAAATGGTCAGCCAAAGCCTTCGTGGATAACTGTTGGGGCTGACTTGCTTTCATTTGACTACACTGTTCCGTCTTCAGCAGGAGGTCAAACATTTTATTTCACTGGCAAGAGCACTGTTGATGGACAGACATATTTACAAGATGTTCAGATTAATGTGGCCATAAGCTCAAACCCACCATCGACTCCTTCAATTCCAAGTTCTTCTTCATCCTCTTCTTCAACTTGTAGAATTTCAAACTGTAAGACTTGAAGTTCGTCTGAATGTACTGCTTGTGAAGATGGTTATACATTGATCAACTCTCAAACTTGAGTTGCAGTTGACTGAAATCTCAACTTTAACTCTTCATTAGTTATTGCTGGCTTTGTAGGTGCAATGACTACAACCACGCTGTCAGGAGTATTGTTTCAATCATCTTCTCAAAACATGTGGGCTATGCTAAACCAATACCAACTGTTCATGATGATTCCATTTCTGAGAGCTGACCTGCCTCTTGAATTTAGAAGGATCATCAAAGCAATTCAAACCAGCATCCTAAACATTAACATTCTGAACACAAGAAGCCTTCCAGGGTTCCAGAGTATCATCGAGCAACTGGATTATGAGAACCCGTATGCAGAGTTCAGAAACAACGAGTATGAATCAGGGAGCGCCTTCGTCAACTGATTCGACCTGGTTGTTACTCTGGTTGGCTCGGTGATCTTAGGGTTGTGAGTGCACCTTGCTTTAAAGCTTATTTGAACCCATAGAAAAAATAACTCCCAATCGAAATTCTATGACTATGTCTTATCTTTGTTGTACTTTAAACTGTATTTGAGATATTTCTTGGAAATTTTCTTGTTTGTGTGACTGATCTCAATGAGCGAGGTTTCCAGACAAATTAGGGCCCTAAATCATACAGCTTCATTATGCTTAAGTGCTTCGGGACTTGTCGCAATATTTTCTCTCATGGTGTTAGTGGTAATTTTATTTTTCTTGGTGAGAAATCCTCAAGAAAACAAGTATGTGAAAGAACTTTATGAAGGATTTAAGATACAACCATTTTCTCAACTTCATAATTTAACATTCCTTCTCAGAAGATTGCTGGTTGTACTGGTTATAGTAACAATGAGATCATCTCCTATAATGTTCAGACTGTCAGTTTACTCCATGCTACAATTATTGTCTCTGATATTCACTGTAATTGTTCTCCCATATAGAGAAAAGTGCTCTAACATCGTTGAGATTGTGAATGAAACATCTTACTTTATCATAATATTTCTGACTCTTTGCAGACAAAATGTTGATTCAAGGATACTAAACGAAGTGCTGAATAACTCAATTGTTTGCAACACATTCATGGTAGCTGTAATATATGCCATAAAACTGATTTATGAATCTATAAAGTACATTAATTTGAAGAGGAGAAGGAAGAGGGTGCAACCTCTCACCAAAAAAGTAACTGTACATAGCAGCAAGAGGTTAAATAGCATCCAGAGGGACCTGAATGCTTCAATATCAATGTAAGTTAGCACTTTATGAATTTACCAAGAATTTTCTAAAGTAATTCAAAATAAGCATAGAGCCATGGTTTTAGGGAAATTTGGCAAGCTATTTTATGGAAATCTTGATCTTTTTGGAAATGGTGTATATGAATTTTTTAACTAGATCTAAAAGGCTTGTAAAAAGACTTCTCACATTTTATTTTTATATATTTTTAATAAAATAATCGAAATACTATCTTCAAAACAGCTTCCCAAAATGGTGAAGTTCTAAGATTAAGTTACTAAGTTACTAATTATTTTGGATAGAAACCAAAAAGAGGATATGAGACAGCAGAATGCTGACACTACTAAAGACATTAGCAAAGAAATAGAAATCAGCACTGAACGCAAGCTGCTGCCCAGAGAGATTGCAGTTCCGTACCGTATGTTTAAGAAATCCAAGTTCTCTAAACCTAAGAAAGTTGTGATGAATTAGAAAGACATTATGCCTGGTCTGGACAATCCAGGAGATAAGATTTTATAAACATAAGCTTATTAATAATCTTGATTGATAAATTTCTATTCGGATATGTCTGATTGCCATTTCACGAAAAGGAAAGAGAATTATATATTAACATTTTATATTCCAACCAAGGGATGAAGACACGGGGTTTTGGGGTTTTGGGGTTTTGGGGTTTTGGGGTTTTGGGGTTTTGGGGTTTTGGGG